TAAGACATTGGGGAATGGAAGTGCAAGAGTCTTGGTACAATATAAGGGAATGCAAGTCCAAGAGTTGTCTGGTAATTGCATTTTCTCCCTATTCTCAATGACTTGGGTAATATCTCTATTCTATTGTTATGTTTGTCTTGTTCTAGCTAGCTACGAAAATGTACCATGTTTTATGTCAGGGATTATGTGAAGAAGAGATGATTCATTAGTCTTTAAAATAATTAAGGATAATGCTGATTTCGAGCAAATTAAGAAGTCCTGTTAAATTAGATATCTCTATGACAACAAATTAATGCAAGACGTTTGGAAAAAGCTCGTTGTCCTCTCAGTAAATTTTTCATGCCTAGTTTTATTTCCAGTTGTGGTGCACACTGCCTTGTTGATATTCTTTTAAAACAGAAACAGATATATTTTTAAAAAAAAAACAGTTGGTGATATTCTTTTGCTACTAAGTGAAACACCAAGATATTGTATAGGAAGGTTGCCTCTAGAGAAACCTAAAATAGACAAGATTTGTTGTTGCACATCATCAGATAATGTGATCCGTATAGCATTTTCGTGTGAGTTTTTTCATTGCCCCTTTTCCTTTACTACCTCCTTGGTTTGACTGAGTCATATCCTTTCGAGATTAATTTTTTCACATCATCAGATAATGTGATATGTATAGTATCTCTTGCACATCATGAGATGATGCAATCTGTAATCATTGTTGGCATATTTGTTTGACTTTTTTGAGCTAGTTTTATTTTAGGTGGTATTTTTATTTAATATGGCTTCGAGGAGCTATATTAATAGCAATAAGAAGTGGAGTTAGGAGTAAAGATAGTTTTTGAGGAGTAATATATGTCATATTGTTTGTGATATTGGTAACCTTATGTTGTTCCGTCATTGAAAGAATGCCATCACTCTTTTAACTAACATGAGATACTTCCTAGTTGTCTCGCCATTCATGATATGAGAAACACTATTTGTGCAGATTAAGATGGAATTTGGTAATGCACTTCAGCTTATTGGTGTTACTATGGTTGGCATTGTTGGGTACTCTATGGTTGGCAGAATGTCATCGGTACATTCATATGGCAACCACAGGAACACCAATAGGTCAAGGTGCATTGCCAGTGCATTACAAATTTCTATAGTGCATTATAACATTTAGTAATCGAATATTTTTCATAAAAAAAGCATGTAAACATCTTGCGCATACCAAGCTTGTATATCATTTTTTAGAGAGTTAACCTTCTTCCAATACCATCTTGAATCTAATGGAGGAGTGTGGTCTCATATATTCAAGTTATTTTTCATATATACTCCATGAACCCATTTCACCCAAAGAATATCCCAATTGTCATCTTAATGTACTGATCTGTCGCATCTAGATAGTTCATCTTAATATAACATTCAACAACAACAAGTAGTGCTTGCCTAATGTTGTCAGGACGAAGCTAGATACACAACAAGCACATTATGATAAAATAATCTTCTCAAGCTGAAGAAGTAATTAATAAGAATCTTAAATGGGAGAACAAAAGAAATTGCCTTAGTTATTGTGTTAATCTGCTACTTTTAGTGGTTTAGGAATAAGAGAATACTTTATATTAGCACTTCCTTACTTACATGATCTATTATTCCCACATACTATACAAATAAAAAGTTACATCACATGAATTTTTAATATTATTTTGAACTATATATGGTTGCTTGTTCTTTTTCATATGCATTGAGGAAGTTTGTTCTTGTTTTCACTTTCCTCTGTCAATGGGTTTAGCATACATACTACATATGCCATGAAGCTTGATTTTTACCCCCCACTAATAGTTAAGACTTCAACCTTTTGCCTAGTTCTTGGTCTAGCTATATCTTTTTGACATGATTGATGCAACATCTCAGTTGCAAGGCTATTTGAATTCTGAATATGCACTTTTTATTTGTTGATATCATTATGATGATTTTTTAAGTAATTCAATGTATTTTAGTAGCAGGGACAACAAGGTTCTTAAGAAATGAGATCGGTCAAGAAGGAGCTTGAGGCATGCCATGAAAGTTTTTTGATTGTATATATATTAGTACAATGCCACTGAAGTATTATGTCGTAAATATGTCATTGACATTTTAGTAGTGGAAGTATTTATAATATTTGGTCGGAGAATGATTTTATAGTTTAAATACTATTTGATGTTTTTAAAGTTATATATTATAAATTTTATAGAATTTGATTGCATTTAAATTTACTATCATTGTTCTCATCATTTATAGCGGTTGAATACACACAATATAATGCTGGGCAAAAAAAACAAAATTTGATTTATTTACTAAATTTAAATTTAATTCAAAGCTGAAATGATACCTGCTACTTTGTAGCGACAATTGTCGTTGTTAAAGTTGTTCTTTAGGAGCGAGTTGAATGTTGCCACATATGGTATTGTAGTTTTTGTGGCGACTTGTGTCGCTGCCAAAAGTACTTTTTAAGCAACAAGATAAATGTCGCCACTGATAGATAGTACATGTATTGTAGCGACAAGAATCGCTACTCATACGTTTTAGCAACAATATAAAACTTGCCACTATTTAGATATGGCTTTTGCGGCGACTATGTCGCCACTTAAACCGTTATTTTAGTGGCGACCTAACTAAAATGTTTGTTGTAAAATTATTATTTGTGGCATAATTGTTCACCTTTAGCGGCAACAAATGTCGTCACAAAAACCTTTTATTGTGGCGACTCCATGTTGTCGTCACAAATAACCTTTAGTTATGGAACTACTAGCTACGGCACAATTGTCGCTGCTATATGTGTTTAGTGGCGACTTTTGGGGTATTTGCGGCGACATCTATCGCCACAAAAACACAGAATTCTTGTAGTGAATAGCAAAAAAATATAAATTAGAATTGAGAAGAGAGATTGAGAGAATATATATAAGAGTGTTAGTAACTGTGAGAAAAATAAGAAAGAATAATGAATACTTATAGTGTATGGGGGGTTAAGGAGGGTAGGGGTGTTCAGGGAAGGGGTTGGGTTGATTATAACCGTTGGTGGGGGCCCTAACGTCTACATGGTTGATTTAGTTTTTTTAAAAGACTAAAAATTTCTAATCGTTGTGATGGTTTGGGTCAATCAAGAAAACCCCTAGGACTCATTCTGGTAACCCCCCTCCCCTCCCCAAACCAGACCCTAATCAATACTAAGCATAACGGGTCTATCAGAACTGATTGGACCAATAATACTTGAACCCCTTGCTAGCCTCAGTTAATATTCTCTTTGTTTCAATTTGTTTATCTACAACTTTAGAGGTCGTATGACAAGTACTATGAGGTCTATCTACATGCATAAGACATGATAGTGATATGTATTATCTACTTTGATTTCGCACACTATTTTGATACTTCCAAGTCTTCATATATTTAATTGAATGATTATCAAAATTTTATGGAATATTATATTGCATTGTTCATGAATGGGTATATGCCATTGTGCTTTGTTCAGTATTAGCTTAAGGCATTGGGTGTCAGTCGCATGTGACATGTGTACCCCTAAATTGGGGTGTGACTTAAGGGCAATTTTATATCTTTTCCAACTGCTTTGAGTTGGTGATCACTGAGCAGTAAGTAACCACTATAACAAACTATCGTCTAATAGTGGCTGAATAGAATGCAAGCAATAGATAACTCCCCAGAATTGATGATTTGTTTGATCAGTTACAAGATGCCAAGTGCTTTTCAAAAATTGACTTGAGAACAGGTTATCACCAAGTGAGGGTGAAGGAGAAGGATATACCCAAGACAGCTTTTCGAACATGGTATGGTCATTTCGAATTTTCTCGTTATGTCATTTGGGCTAACAATGCACCGGCAATTTTTATGGATTTGATGAATAGGGTGTTCAAGCCATTCTTGGATGTATTTGTGATTAGTATTTATAGATGATATCTTGGGTGT